TGCGGCTCACCTACACAAGAGGTAGTGATGTCACTCTTTTGCTTCTCTGTGCCTCCCCTTCTGAAAGTCTCTGTGGTTCTCTCTGAGTTGGGCTCAAGCTGGAGGTAGTATGGTGTAATGGGTAGAGTGTGGATTCTACAGTCAGACAGAACTTGGCTCTGAAGATACTTCATCTGGGCTTACAGTGAGTGAATCTCAGTAGACCTGTGCCCTTGAGTGAGTTAATCTCTTTGAACCTCAATTTCTTCATGTGCAACAGGGGGAATTATGGTTGTGTGTATATGGGGAGTTGTTGTTGTTTTTAGGTGCCATCGAGTTGGTACCAACTCATAGAGACCTTATACACAGCAGAATGCAACACTGCTCGATCTTGGACAACCTCACTATTGTTGCTATGCTTGAGTCCATTGATGCTTCCACCTGGCCAATCCATCTTGCTGAGGGTCTTCCTCTTTTTCTCTGACCCTCCACCTTACCAAACATGATAACTTTTTGCAGTGACTGGTCCCTCCTGACAATATGTCCGAAGTAAAAGCACCTAAAACAGTTCGGGTACTACTCTTTAGGGGCTCAAAAGATGTTTACTTTTACATTCTTGCAACAGTTTATATCCTCATAATGGCATCTGGGAGGAGCACATGTCTACACACTGGCTCTCGTCATTCTGGAAAGCTCACCTTGGCCTTTCTGAGCCTCTGGCTCTGAGGTGCTCATATTTTATCCATTGATAACTCTAGACCAGTCATTCTCAACCAAGGGTGATTTTTGTCCCTTCCATCATGGGATTTTGGTTATCACAATTTCAGGTGTGGGGTTAGGAGAATTGCTATTGGCATCTAATGGATAGAGGCCAGGGATGCTGCTAAAATCCCTATAGTATAGTCCCCACAACAAAGAATTATTCAGCCCCAAATATTGATAATGCCAAGGTTGAGGCACTGAAAATTGCCATTTGCTCACAATTTTTAATGTGCCAGGCATTGTTAAGCTCCTTTTTCACAGATAACTTCATTTGAATTTAATAATCCTATGAGATTGTTGTTAAGTGCCATTCCAACTCATAGCAACACTGTATAGGGTTTCCAAGGAGCAGCTGGTGAGTTAGAACCACCAACTTTGTGGTTAAAGATGACCTTGTGGTCCAGGGATTTATTCCACAGTGCCACACCAGGGCTCCTATGAGGTAGGATTAGGCAAATCTACTGCACAAAATCTTTTAAAGCATGAATAAGTGAAGATATCAGTTCAACGACTAAGGTGTGCCTGACCCAAGCCATGGTATTTTCAATTGCTTCATATGCATGTGAAATTTGGGCAATGAATAAGGAAGACCAGAGAAGAATTGATGCATTTGAATTATGGTGTTAGAGAAGATTACTAAAAGTACCACAGACTTCCAGAAGAACAAACAAATCAATGTTGGAAGAAATACAGCCAGAATATTCCATAGAAGTCAGGATGACGAAACTTTGTCTATCATATTTCAGACATGATATAAGGGGGGACCTTCCAGTACCTGGAAAAGGTAATCATATTTTATAAAGTGGAAGGTCAGGAAAAAGAGGAGATGGACTGACACAGTGGCAGCATCAATGAGCTCAAATGTAACAACAATTGTAATGATGGCGCAAAGGCAGTATTTCATTGTGTTGTGCATAGGGTCACTGTGAATTGAAACTGATTTGGAGGCACCCCAAAAAATTGACAGGGAACTTCCAGAGGTTCAAGGTGGATTCAGAAGAGGCCATGGAATGAGGGATATCATTGCTGATGTCCAATGGATCTTGGCTAAAAGCACAGAATAGATGTTTACCTGTGCTTTATTGACTACTCAAAAGCTTTCAATTGTGTGGATCATGACAAGCTATGGACAACATTGTGAAGTATGAGTATTCCAGAACACTTAATTGTACTTCTGAGGAATCTGTACCTGGACCAAGAGGCAGTTGTTCAAACAGAACATGGGAACACTGAATGTTTTAAAATTGGGAAAGGTGTACGACAGGGTTGTATTCTTTCACTATACTTATTCAATCTGTATACTGAGCAAATAATCTAAGAAGCTAGGTTATATTAAGAAAAACATGGTATCAGGATTGGAGGAAGACTCATTAACAACCTGCGATATGCAGACAATACAACTTTGCTTGCTGAAAGTGAAGAGGACTTAAAATATTTACTGAAGAATATCAAAGAGCACAGCCTTCAGTATAGATTACATCTCAATGTCAAGAAAACAAAAATTTCACCACTGGACCAATAACCAGCATTCTTATCAATGGAGAAAAGATTGAAGTTGTCAAGGACTTCATTCTCCTTGGATCAACTATCAACACTCATGAAAGCAGCAGTCAAGAAATCAAACGACATATTGCATTTGGCAAATCTGCTGCACAAGACCTTTTTTAAGTGTTGAAAAACAAAGATGTCAGCTTAAGGACTAAGGCGTGTCTGACCCAAGCCATGGTATTTTCAATAGCCACATTTGCATGTGAAAGCTGGACAGTCAATAAGGAAGACTGTAGAAGAATTGATGCTTTTGAGTCATGATGTTGGAAGAGAATATTGAAAGTTCCATGAGCTGCCAAAAGAACCAATAGATCCGTTTTAGAAGAAGAGAAGCCAGAGTGTTCCTTGGAGGCAAAGATGACCAAACTTTGTCTCTCATACGTCGTACATATTGTCAAGAGGGGCCTGTCACTGGAGAAAGATATCATGTTTGGTAAGGTAGAGGGTCAGAAAAAAAGAGGAAGACCCCCCAATGAGATGGATTGGCCAAGTGGCAGCATCGATGGATTCAAGCATGGCAACAGTAGTGAAGTTGGCCCAGGATCGGGCAGTGTTTTGTTTTGCTGTGCATAAGGTCACTGTGGGTGGGTAAAGACTTGATGGCACCTAACAACAACAACAGCAACAACAAAAATTGAGGTGCTGTGGGCTATTGCGTCAGACTGAAAAATTGTTTGAACTACAAGGTCTGTGGTTTCAAGCTCACCAGCTGCTCTTTGGAAAACCTATACAGGGTCACTATGGGTTGGAATTGACTTGACAGCACTTAACAACAACAACAACAAAAATTGAACTTGTCAAGGGCTTCATTCTTCTTAGATTAACTATCAATACTCATGGAAGCAGCAGTCAAGAAATCAAACAACGTATTGCATTAGGCAAATATGCTGCACAAGACTTTTAAGGTGTTGAAGAGCAAAGATGTCAGCTTGAGGACTAAGGTGCGCCTGACCCAAGCCATGATATCTTCAATAACCTCATTATAAATGTGAAAGCTGGACAGTGAATAAGGAAGACTGTAGAAGAACTGACGTATTTGAGTTATGGTGTTGCAGGAAAATATTGAAAGTGCCATGGGCTGCCAAAAGAACCAACAGATTTGTGTTGAAAGACGTGCAGCCAGAGTGCTCCTTGGAGGCCAAGATGGCTAAACTTCATCTCTCACACTTTGGACATATTTTCAGGAGGGACCAGTCACTGGAGAAGGAATTCATATTTGGTAGGGTGGAGGATCGGAGAAAAAGAGGAAGACTCCCAGTGAGATGGATTGAAAAAGTGGCAGCATCAATGGGCTCAAGCAGGGCAACAATTGTGAGGTTGGCCCAGGATCAGGCAGTGTTTTGTCCTGCTGTGCATGAGGTCGCTATGATTCGGTACCAACTCATGAGCACCTAACAACAACAACAATGAGGTAGGAATTATTAATCCCTTTTGTGTTTAAAATGTAATTAAGTTGCTCAAGAGCATGTAGTGAGTGAGTGGGTTTCATCCTTGGGCAGCCGGACTCCCAGAGCCACAGTTAACCCTTTCTCCAAATATATATATCCCACTGCCTCACTTTCTCAAGGATTTTTCGCTGTTTCTGTTTAGGCAGACAAGAAAAGCTCTAAGCCTGTTTTTTTTTTTTTTTTTATGGTTTGAGATTTCAATTTCAATAGGACTTACTGGATGATGCAGAACTTCACTGTCGAAAACTCTTAATAAAAAGTAGTCATTTGAACTGCTAAATATTATAGCCCTGCCCCAAATTAGGGAAAACAAGCTAGATTGTAACATTATTAAAAAAAATAATGTTTTCCTCTGACAATCCCAAACAGTAAGTTTTAGAGTAGATGGAGGTTTAAATGCTTTTCTATATGAAAAATGGAGTTCTCAGACTCAAACAAACAAAAAACAAAACAAAACAGTATTTCAAGGTGTCCCAAGGATGTTAGTGAGTGGAAGACCTTGAGAAATGTGTTCTGAAGCCTTTTGCCAAGGGCAGATACTCCAGGGAGACTGTTTCTTCGAGAGTAGAAGGAGTTTCTCAGTTCACTAACAACAGGTATTTACTGAGCACAGTTATTTATGGAAACTGGGTAGTAGGTACTGACAATGGATAAAGCAGTAACAAGATTGTCCTCACAGAATTTAGATTTCATTGTCAAAGGTGCTGCTGTTGTCTGGTTTCCACAGGAAAACAAAATCAAAGATGGACCACTGTATCTTGAACCATAAAGTTAATAATGATAATAATATAAGCATAAGTGCAAAAACAACAACTGTATACTTTACATGCACTGGGTCATTTAATTCTCATGACTGCTCTCTAAAATAGGTACAAATAATCTTATTGTACACATGAGGACATTGAAACAAAGGGTAAAGACAAATTTGGTGAGATTATTTCTCAAGGTTAAGAAGGTAACTTATATCTTGTTTTAGTTAATGTCACAAAACCCGAAGAGATGAAAAAAAAATGTGGATCCCTCCCTACATTTTGTTCATAGCAGTGATATTAACTCGGAATCTTATTAAATTCCATGCAGATGGAGGGAGCCACTTTGACTCCCAACCTCAGTTTGCTTACCTGGGAAATGGGAAGTAACAGGATACCCATGAGAGCTGTAGTTAAGCCTTGTTGAGTGAAGATAGATTTGGAGACAGGGGTGGGAAGAGAACAGAGGGACACAATAAAAAAAGGGACAGATTAATTGTGCAGGGACAATGACCTGTATAGATGACAATGCCAACGGCCACCTCAGTGTTTCTGATGGTGCAACCTCGAAGCAGAAGACTTTCACTGCCAAAGCCAGTCCTGGTCTCATCAGGATGCTCCCTGTGAAAGAGGAAAGAAGAGGGGTGGCTTGGTGACCTCTCGGTGCTGTCTTTGGTTAGTGTTGCTAAACTAGAAATAATGAGTGTGACCTCTCTCTTACCTACTTGGATGCAGGTGTGACATGGATATTGACATGGATATTGACTCAGAATTGAATCTCTTTCACATTTGAGTGCACTCTTCATCTCTCCTAGCAAGTCTGGATGGAGGATGGACCATCAGAAGGCGATTGTCCACTCTTGTGGAAAGCATCATTTTGCCACACAGATGTCAGGACTTTGTGCTGAAAAAGTTTTGTCTTACATTTTCACACTCAAAATGGCTGAAGGGCCAAGATTTGGGGAATTGGCTTCTGGCTGTGTTCCTTTAGGACACATTCCCATGCTTATTCACATAGTTGCTGTAAACAGAACTGCACAAGAAGACTCTAGATGGTCCCTCTTTTCATACCATGAAATGGGTCAGGGCTGGTTACTGATGCCTCTCATTCTGAGCTAGCTCACTCACTTGACCTCTCTCTTCTTTGTGCACACAGAGACTTTCCTACCCTCCTTCAGCCTCTTGTAAAAAAACAGACCACATAGGAGATGGAGAGTGCTCACTTCACTAGGTGGCAACTTTTCAATGTAGAGAAAGGGTTTCTTCCTCTAGCCAGAGTGAACATTGCAGTTTTCCATGTCACACCTGCTCCAAACAACTCCCAGTTATCACCTGAGCTCTAGCCCTGTTGTGGTGCTATAGGATCAGCACCAGACTGTGAACCACAAAGTTGGCAGTTCAAACCCACCAGCTGCTCTTCGGAAACCCTATATAGCGTTGCTATGAGTCAGAACTGACTTGATGGCACTTAACAACAACAGCCCTTATTCTACTCTGATGCTATTCTTTTGGGACTTTAGAAAATTTTATTATAATTTTTAAAAAACATTAATTAGACAAAGAATAACGTCAACTCTGAAGGGTTTTTCTCCTGATAGTTCTTAATGCTTCACTTCCCTAAGTCCCCTTTTAAATGCTTTGTATGTATTCATGAAATTAAGCTTCATGACAACTATATTATATATATATAATTGTTGTTGTTATGTGCCGTGGAGTTGGTTCTGACTCGCAGCCACCCTGTAAAGGGTTTCTGAGGCTGTAAATCTTTATGGGAGCAGAAAGCCTCATTGTTCTCCAGCAGAACAGCTGGTAGTTTCGAACTGCTGACCTTGTGGTTCGCAGCCCGATTCATATATATCTCATAATGGTGAGCTCTGGTAGCGTAGTTAGTGGTTACGAATCGGGCTGCGAACCACAAGGTCAGCGGTTCGAAACTAGCAGCTGTTCCGCGGGAGAAAGATGAGGCTTTCTGCTCCCGTAAAGATTTATACCCTCGGAAACCCTGTACAGGGTCACTATGGGTCGGAACCGACTCAACGGCACTTAACAACAACAACAACAACAATGGCAGAATGGAAATTTAAGTGTAGGAAGTTTGACCCCAGGGTCCTTATAGTACTTCTCCTTATAACTTTTAGTGATAACAATTCCTTGCTGTACTTATAAAGTACATTTATTTACATTATTTAATTTGACTCTTATAGCTCAAGAAAGTTAGCAGATGATTATCTTTACTCATGAAAAAGTTGTAGCCCAGAGAAGCTGAGAGATTTTTCAAGAACACACCCCTAGTACATGGGACATCCTAGGTCTTGCGAATCCAGACCATGAGCACCAAACTTAATAGGATTTCACTGCAGTGGGTTTCCCAAAGTTGAACCTCATTAACTTATCCTGAATCAGAGAATCACTTTCACTTTCAATTCTTTTCAATCTATCAAAGGGAATGTCTATTTGGTGCTGATAGATCATTAACCCTTTCCTATCACCTCCTTGTCTTACTTTTAAACATAGAAAAGGCTTTGGCAAGCAACGATCTGTTGTTAAAATAGAATGATGCTGCTTGGATTTAATTATACCAATTTTTACTATTGCTTTCTGGGTATAGCAAAGGATACTGGTTTCTCATAGGGCCAGAGATATATATTGTTCTTTTGGAATACATGTAAGAAAAAGAAGTCTGTAAAAATTTTGGTCAATAAAAATGTAGATGTTTTATGAATGTGATACAAACCATAAATGGTACAAGAATGACAGATATTTAGGACACACCATCATCACTGCCTCTCTCTAGCAACTAGAAGGTGGCTGTTGGTAGAATATTGGGCTAATGAATCTTGAAGGCTTTCCTATCAGTTGCTTGTGGCAGAAATAACATTTTTACAATGCTGTGAGGTGATAATATATGACAAAGGTTCTCCCTCTCCCAGTTGTAAATGTTCCCCTTTCACTGGATGGCAGAATGGGTTAGCTGCCTCAGAGCAACTACTATTCTATTCAGTGTTCTTTGCTTACAAGGATGCTCTATTTAACTGACTCTGATGTTGTTGTTGAGTGCCCTCTAGTCAGTGCCAACTCATAGCGGCTCTGTACAGAGTTTCTAAGGAGCTGCTGGTGGGTTTGAACTGCTGACCTTGTGATTTGCAGCTCAGTGCTGATCCTGTAGCACCATACCAGGAGTCCATAATTAACTTTATAACTGACTCTGTTGTTACATGCTATCGAGTGGGTACTGACTCAGCAACCCTATGCACAATAGAATGAAACACTGCCTGCTCCTGTGCCAGCCTCACAACTGTTGTTAATTTTGAGTCCACACTGCTGCCTCTGAGCCAATCCATCTTACTGGGCTCTTCCTCTTTTTCTCAGACTCTCCACTTTACCAAACATGATATCTTTCTCCAAGGACTGGTCCCTCCTGACAATATGTCTGAAGTCTGAGAGATGAAGTCTGGCCATCCTGGTTTCCAGGGAGCACTCTGGCTGCACTTCTAACACAGATATAACTGATTCTACAGCAGTGATTTTCAATTTTGGCTCTGCTGACATTTTGGACTAGAGAATATTTTGTTGTCTGGGCTGGCCTGTGACTTGTAGTAGCATCTTTTAACTTCTGCTCACTAGATGCCAGATGCACCTCCCTCCCTCAGTTGTGACAACTAAAAATCTCTCCAGATGTTGCCAAATATCTATGGGGATACAGTATTGTTAAGCACTGTTGAGTCGGTTTGTGATAAGCAGCTGGTGAGTTTGAACTGTTGACCTTGTGGTTCAAACTGACCTTGTAGTCTAGTGCTTATCCTACAGCACCACACCAGGACTCCAGGGGTATAGTGAGGGGAGGTGAAATTGCCTCTAGTTGAGAACCACTGTTCTAGAGAGATCTTTTTGTTTCAAAGTTGCATTTTAAAATCGAACTCCTCTAATCTTTAAATCACAAGTATTAAATGCTGTTCATCTTCTAACCAGGCTGGGCAGTCACAACATAACTCCCTAATGAAGGAAAACCCACAGAAACTTTGGGGGAAACCGGGAGGTTTGCTCAGGTAGAGGGTGCAGACTATCTGTGGATGCTAGATCTGAAGACATCTTCTTGCAGAACAGAGGATATAGAAGAGCTGTCCTTCATTCAGTGGTTTGGCTACTGATTGATAGTGTTTATCCATGTGGCCTAGGCAGGCAGGGAAAAACAGGTCTCTAGGGATCTCAACCAGCGAGAGGAGATCCTGAGTTAGCAGAGCTGGCAGTGATCTGCTCTGAAAGCTGTTTGAGATGGATAGGGCAAAGCTCAGTTTGAAAGCTGAGAAAGACTGGCATCAGCTGTTGAAGGAGAAAGGATCACAAATAGAAACGCAGCAGAAAGGCTGTTCTTTAAGAGGGTAATGAGAAGGACTAAGGCGTGGGTGACTTGGCATGAGCTAAATCCACAAATCTCCACCCGAGGGGTGCATTCCTTGTTAGGGTGGGTGGTGAGCTCTATCCACCTTGCCAGATACCTGTAACTATCAATTCCACTTCCCTGTGAATTCATGCCCTTCTTTACCGGTTTCCATCTGCTCTCTCTCTATGCATTTAAACAATAATTTGCCTTGAAAAGTTCACCTTGATCTTGTATTATTCTTATCATCTCACCACTCATATCATTCTTCATTACATCCCATTTGACCTCAGAAAATGTGGGTAGAAGGACAGCATAGACATGCACATCCCAGGAAGTTTTCCTAGGCCTCATTTCAGAGTATATCAGCACAGTAGGCACCGTATCATGACTAAACTCCGGATCACATGACAAGAGACAACGCACTGGAGTCGGAGAATTAAGTTCTGAATTTAAGGCCTGAATTTAAGTTCTACCTTTGTCTTGTACTTGCTGTGTTGTGATTATGAGTGGATCTTGAAAAGTCTTAGATCATTGTCTCCCTGTTAGTAAAGTGGGAATCATAACAACTCTCTTTCTTGGATTGTTGTAAAAATAAAATGAAATGATATTCTGTGAAATGAAAATAACTCTAAACTGGTAAAGGACTACATTTGGTGTTTATTCACATGAATTATCATGGCTCTTTTTTGCACGAATACCAGTTATCTGATGTAGGAGCAGAATCCTTTTTCAGTGGATGGGAGAACCAAAGTTGAGGGCTACAAATAACAGTAAGGCAACTGCAGCAGCCGGCAGTAACTGAGTATTTGTTGTTGTTGATAAGTGCCGTCAAATCGGTTCAGACCCATAGCGACCCTGAACAGGGTTTCCGAGGCTGTAAATCTTTATGGGAGCAGAAAGCCTCATCTTTCTCCCACGGAACAGCTGGTAGTTTCGAACTGCTGATCTTGTGGTTCGCAGCCCAATTCGTAACCATTACGCTACCAGAGCTCCTTACATCATGCTAAATACTGTGCTTGTAAGGGCTTTACATATGCTAAACAGCCTAATTCTTAGAAGGAAAAATCCTATGGTATATATATTTTATTTTAGAAAACCCAAAGTATTTGCTATTGAGTTGACTCTGACTCATGACCACCTTTTTGTGTTGGGAGAACTGCTTTGTAGAGATTTCAATGGCTGATTTTTTTTTTTTTTTCTCAGAACTAGATTGGATTGCCAGCCTCTCTTCTGAGGTAGACTCAAACTTTCAACCTTTCTGTTAGTTGACCACGTTAACTCTTTGCACCATCAACGATGCCAGTCTTTATTTTGCAGATGTGGAAATCAAGACCCATAGAAGTTCATTTATTTACCTAAGGTCACACAACTTGTGAGTGTAGACATTCCATACCTTGTAAGATTTTAAACCTAGGCCTGTGGAACGCTTATATTACTACAATGTAATATAGGCTCTTTATAAAACCAATCTTAATTCATATTTGCTTCCTTACAAGTGAGAATGGCAAGGCTTCATCTTATATACTTTGAACATGTTACCAGGAGCGATCAGTTCCTGGAGAAAGACATCATGCTTGGTAAAATAGAGGGCTTCTGAAAAAGAGGAAGACTCTTAAAGAGCTAGATTGACACAGTGTCGGCAAGACGGGCTTATACATAGGAACAATTGTGCGGATGGCATAGGTAATGATTCCTTCTGTTGTACATAAAGTCACCACGAGTCAGAACTACATCGATGACATCTAATAACAGCAACAGCCTTCCTTGAATCAGAGAATGGTCATATTTCTGATGCTAGTTCACCAGAGGTTTAAAGAACCACTGTGAATTGTTGTTGTTGTCAGGTGCCATCGAGTTGGAACCGACTCAAAGGGACCCCATGCACAGCAGAATGAAACAATGTCTGATCCTGGGCCAACCTCACTACTGCTGTCACTCTTGAGTCCATCAATGATGCCACCTGGCCAATCCTGTGAATTAATGCCTGCAAAATAAAATTATGAAAGTTTCTCAGGTTTACTTAGGTTTCTCTGGCTTTTATTTTAGGAAAAAAACTTCCTGAGACTCAAGATTTCTGTTTGGCTATTTCAAGGAAAATATGCTTCATAGTTGCACAAGAGAGATTTACAAGTAGCCACGGGGAATTGAATACTTACATGTAACCCTTAAATCTGTTGAGGTTGTTGTTGGGTTTCTCACACACAATGGTATTGTGGAAATGTTCCGGTTCGAACTGTGCCTCCTGCGGGAGAGAGGACTCTGTGAGGTTATAAAGTCAGGGGGATGTACTTTTAATAGAATCCTTGGGAGAGCTAATCACTGCTGGAATCAGTGCAAATAAGGTAATTCCTGATTTGTCATGATGTGATAGTTATAACGTGTTCATTGTTGTTGTTGTTGTTATGTGCCGTGGAATCGGTTCTGACTCATAGTGACCTTGTACAGGGTTTCCGAGGCTGTAAAACTTTACGGGAGCAGAAAGCCTCATCTTTCTCCCGCGGAACAGCTGCTAGTTTCGAACTGCTGACCTTGAGGTTTGCAGCCTGATTCGTAACCACTACGCTACAAGAGAAAGTGAAAACCTCATTAAGGGGGAGACAGTAGACGCAAATGAAAAGTTGGATGCTAGGCAGAGGGAAATCCCTGCCCCTAAAGGAGTTCTGGTAGTGTAGTGGTTACGAATCAGGCTACGAACCTCAAGGTCAGCAGTTTGAAACTACCAGCTGTTCCGCGGGAGAAAGATGAGGCTTTCTGCTCCTGTAAAGTTTTACAGCCTCAGAAACCCTGTACAGGGTCGCTATGAGTTGGAACCGACTCCACGGCACATAACAACAAAAATGACAACAATGTGTTTCTCTAGTAACTTCGGCTTTAGTCTCTAGATCAGCACTATCCAATAGAATTAACTGCGAGGATCAAACTGTTCTAAGTCTGTGCTGTCCAATGTGGACGCTACTAACTAGCTACTAAGCACTTGAAGTGTGCGAATAAAGGATTGATTTTTTAAATTAATTTTAATTTAGTGATTTAAATATGCATTTACATTTTGATTTAAATGTAGCTTGTGAATAACCACACTGAATAGCCCAGAGACAGATAATCAAAAAAAGGGACCGTAAATCGGACTAACTAGGAATTCGTTGATGTTAAGTCAGTTCTGACTCATAGCAACTCTCTTTAGGGGGTCCGAGGAGCAGCGGGTGGATTTGAACTGCTGACCTTGTGGTTTGAAGGACAGTGTTGATCCTATGGCACCCCACCTAGGAATAGCTATGGTTAATATGCTTATATAAATAATATTTACAGGCTTTAAAATATATATAAACACATACAAATGTGTATGTGTATATTTCACACATATATAAGTATTTTAAAATGTGATTAAATATAATGTTCATGTATCTCCAGTATTTTAAACTTATTAAAAGTTTTCTACATCTTTACTAATATTTGCATGGAAAGTGATTGTATGAATGTACTATATTTCATTTCACTATTGAATATATAATATACATTGTTACAATTTGTTTTAACTATTATAAAAATTCTGGGAAACTAAAACAGTTGCCGAGTCCTGGTGTGGCACTGTGGGTTAATGCACCAGACTGCAAAGCCATTTGAACTGCAAGGTTGGCAGTTCAATCTCATCAGCTGCTCCTTGGAAACACTATACAGGGTCGCTATGGGTCGGAATTGACTCAACTGGCACTTAAAAACAACAACAACAAAACAGTTGCCACAGTGGAGTCATTTCCAGCCCACGGTGAGCCCATGTGTGTCAGAGTAGAACTGTGCTCCATAGGGTTTCTCGTGGCTGAGTTTTCTGAAGTAGATCCCCAGGTCTTTCTTAAGTGGCACCTCTAGAGGGATGTAAGTCAGCAACAGTGGTTAGCATTGGCAGCCGAACATGCTGTTTGTACCGCCCAAGAACTCTGCTGAAAAAGTGACAACTAATAAAACAAGATAATGTACACGTATGTACTGAACTCTTACTTTTGCCAGACACTATTATGAGGAATTTACATGCGTTATTATTTTTTTTTTCAAGCTTATAATCACTCTACAAAGCAGGAACTTTCATTACACTCTCCTTCCCAAGAAAACCTAGTGCTGGCAAGCTGATTCCAACTCAAAGAGACTATAGGACAGAGTAGAACTGCCCCATAGGTTTTCCAAGGTTGTAAATCTTTACAGAAGTAGACTACCACATCCTTCTCCTAGGAAGCAGCGACTGGATTTGAACCACTGACCTTTTGGTTAGCATCTGGCTGCTTTAACCACTGTGCCACAGGAATCATTTTCATTAGTTATTGAGGTGCCATCGAGTCAATTCTGACCCAAAGCGACCCTGTACAGGGTTTCCAAGGATCATCTGGTGAGCTTGAACCACCAACCTTGCAGTTCAAACGGCTTTGCAGTCTGGCACATTAACCCACACAGCACCACACCAGGACTTATTAGAGATGGGAAAACTGAGACTTAGGAAGGCTAATAGGCTGCTCATGGCCATGCCAAGGCTGGATTTGGGTCTAAATCTGACTTCCGACTATTTGTTCTTTACTTGAACAGCAAGCACACTGCTTCTGGATGAACATCCTGGAGTTAAGTACTTTAAACACATCCTTGACTCTTTCTCTACTTTATTTAGATATTTCCATTGTACAATCTCTTACAGTTTAGTTGAGTGGGTGAATACAGCTGTAGGTGGAGAGACCTTGCTTTTGAACAACCTATCACAACTAATGGAGTCCTGGTGTGGTGCTGTGGTATAATGTGCTGGACTGCAAAAGTCATTTGAACTGTAAGGTTTAAGATCACCAACTGCACTATGGATCACAATTGACTCGATGGCACTTACCAACAACAACATCATAACTAATACAGTGTTCAGTTCTTTGTGTCTTAGTTTCTTCATTTGTAGAACGGGCCTAATAACACCACACACCTGCCCCATTTTATTTATGCCTCAAGAGATAAAATCCACATAGAAAGATTTTTGAGTTATGCAGCATGTTATGCAAATCGATGGTGGTAATGTTAAAGGTGGAGTTGGAACGTTTCCTGGGTAGAGCATTAGCATGGGAAGTGAATTTTTCTCTGAGAGCTTCAAGGTATGCTGTTCAAAGAGGCAAATAGATTTGAACAAATGATAGCATTTTTTGGCTTTCTGTAAATATATTCTCCATCAGATCTGTGGGGGTACTAACATCAACAAACTCTCCACTCACTTGAAATAAATAATCCATTCTAGAGTTTCTAAAAATAGGGCCCTTTTCCCTGTAGGTATTGATTCTTTCAGGGACAAACACTTGCCAAGCTTTGAGATGATGACAAATCATATTATAATTTGTCAGCTGCTTCTATGCCCCTGATTAAGCCATGTGCCTCATTCTCTATCCATACTGCTCTGCTCGTTGCTGGGTGTTTCCACCTAAACCCATTTAGAGATGAATGGCAGCAGCTCTGAGAGTTAATGATCCTACTGCAATGACAGAGTCCCTGTGACCTGTTTAACCACACCTTGGAGGGCTGGGTGAGCCCTGGCAATGGTGAGGTTTGCCTCTTTTGTTCTTCAGTTGGCATTTCCCTGCTAGCTTCCTTCTGCAGTGTCCGTTTCCTGGTCCCATGTTCTCTTGTCTCTTCCTCTACACAGAGAGGTGGACTGCTCTTTCTACCTACCTGTTTTCCCTTGGTTTCCTTCCTCCTCTCCCCAAGGTGGGTTGTGGAGAGAGGAGCTCAGGTCCTGCTGTCTGTAAAGAAACTCATGCAGACATTTCTTGCTTATTTTACTTTTTTAATGGGGGGTGGGTGGGAGTGGTGAGCCCTCTCACAGTCTGTCTGAACTTATGCCTAGTTATCCCAAGGTGTATTTGTTCTCAACCTCCCAGGCTTCACCCATGGGGGGTGGTGGTGGAAATCACCATCTTCTCTGGCCCCCTGCTTCCCTAAGCTTTTAAGCAGCTTGGCTCTTCTCACCATTGCCTTTTTTCACTTGTGTGATTTTAAGGTTATTGCTATAGTTCACAAAGTCCTTGGTGGCACAAACACTTCAGCAACTACAAACTGAAAAGTTGGTGGGTCTAGTCCACCAGAAGTGCCTCAGTAGACAGGTCTGGTGATCTTCTTCCTAAAGGCCACAGCCTTGCAAATCCTAAGTGGCAGTGCTTTTCTGTATAAATGGTGTCATGAGCTGCCAACCTTGCAGTTATCAGTCTAGTGCTTAT